CTCTCCAAAGTGCTGAAGAGCAGTGGTGTCTCTTTGGAGACTAAGGTGCGTCTGATACAGGCCATGGTCTTCACAATCACCTGTTATGCATCAGAGAGTTGGGCAATGACCAAGGAGGATAGAAGGAGAACTGATGCATTTGAGCTGTGGTGCTGGAGAAGAGTACTGAGAATACCATGGACTGCTAGGAAAACAAATAGATTTGTCCTGGAGAGGGTTAAACCTGGTGGCTCCTTGGAGGCAAGGATTCTGAGGCTCCGTCTAACTTACTTTGGACATGTAGTGAGGAGAGACCGGTCCTTGGAGAGGGACATCATGCTTGGGAGGGTGGAGGGACGGCGCAGGAGAGGAAGGCCCTCTATGAGGTGGATTGATTCAGTGACTGGGATAATTGGGATGGGAGTGTCAGAGACAGTGCTATTGGCACAGGACAGAGCGGAGTTTAGGGCTGTTGTACATAGGGTCGCTATGAGTCGCAGGCGACTCGACGGCACATAACAACAACATGAAACAAAGTGATTGACTTAAAAAAAAACCAATCATAAACAACCCCAGTATGTTTTATAAACTTTCACACAAATCACAATTAAAAAAAGTTTAAAAGAAACAACTAAAAATTCTATTTTGGAAAAGAAGTAGTCATAATGTCCCTTAGAAGTGAGAATGGGCCTATTACTTTGAGTATCTAGTTAGGAGAGGTCAGTGCCCAGAGAAGAAAATTATGCTTGGTAAAGTAGTTGCTGCTGTTGTTGCTAGCTGCTATAAGGTTGAGAACTACTATGAACAACAGACTTGAAATCTGTCCTCTTCTGTTCCACCCACATCTCGATACACTTAAGTACCTTGCTGCAGTCACTGTGTCAATCCATCTGGTTGAGCGTCTTTCTCTCTTTTTCTGGCCCTCCACCTTAAATATGATATCACTTTCTAAGGAATAGCCTCTCTAACGATCCAAAGTATGTGAGACGAAGCTTCACCATTTTTGCCACCAAGGAACACTGTGGTTGCCCTTTTCCCCAGACGTACCTGCTTGTTCTTTTGGCAGTGCATGAGATATTCAATACTCTTCTCCAACACCCCAGCTCAAAGGCATCAATTCTTCTGCCATCTTAATTCATTTCCAGCTCTCAGATGCATAACAATTGATTGAAAAGCCTGAATCAGATGTATCCTTGTCTTCAAACTGACATTATTGCTCCTCAACAATTTGGTAAAGTAGGTCAGTGAAAAAAAAAAAAGATCCTCAAATAAATAGATTAACATAGTGGTTTCAACAGTGGACAAGTATTGTGAGGATGGTGCAGAATCAAGTAGAATTTCTTTCTGTTGCACATGGAGTGATTATGAGTTAGAGCAGACTTGATGATATCCAACAACAGTATCAGTAATACTGTGAAAAGGCTTTTTTTCCCCTGTTAGTGCAGAAGACCAGCCTTTGCTATCAAGGTCTGGCCTGACCTAAATCCACTGCTACTTCTTGCACCTCTTGCATTTTCTCTTGGAGACTTAACCCCTCATGGTTCCTGAGAGACCTCTGTCCTACTGATGACCCCACTCCTATGCCGGTAAGGTGAAAGAACTTTAGCTTATAGTTTTAATGTGTGACAGAGAAGAATAGATTCATAAGTGTTCTTGGTGGTAATCTTTATGCAAGCGGTTTGCCAGGTCTTTCTTGTATGGAGCTACTGAGTGGGTTTGGATTGCCAACGCTTGTTTAACAGACAATCAAAAACCAATTGTGCCACTAAGGGACATTTTCAAAAGTACTAGGAGTCCCCTGGATAGACAATAAAAAAAAAAAAAAAGGAAATTTGATTGAGACTATTCACTGAGAAATTTCCTTTTATTACTTTACTCAAACTCACTGTCATAGAGCTGGTTCTGACGTTATAGTGACCCTCCATTTGGTTTCCGAAGCTGCAAATACTAATGGAAGGGGACTACTCATCTTTCTTCCATGGAGTCACTGGTGGATTTGAAGTGCTGGAGAAGTGCAATCTCTGTTTAGCAATGCAATATATTGCCAGAGCTCCTTACACTTTATAAATCCTGTTTTAGACAAACAAAAATGAAAGCTTAAAGAAATTAAGAAAATTGTTCAGGATCACAAAAGTAGAGCTGAGTAGTCAAAGCACAAACTATTTGACTGTATGTCCTTCCAATTTCTAGCCTTCCTTTATCACAGAGATTGGCTTCCTTTGGAAAATCCTGGTTGGGCCTCTGTTCCTCCTATCTCCTAAAGAATTAGGTTGGTCTCTTGGGCCCTAGAGCACATGGGCTTTATTTTTTGGTCTCCTATCCAGATGGGTTTCCATCTTAGGGGTAAGGGTAAAGTGTGGTCTAGAGAATTGATTGATGGGACCTAACCCACCAATTAGATTTAATGTTGGGCCTCTCCTCCATAATCTAGTGATACATAATTGGCAGAGACAAATTATATCCAGAGGCATAATTGACAACCCCCAGTCCTATACTCAGAGTCAAGAGAAAGGAGGAATTGAATTTATTTCTAGCCTGATGTCTGTTAATCCTAAAGTCTCATTTGCTGACATCCCGATTTAGGTTTCTAGCTTTAGATGAGACCAGCTCATAGAATTATTCGTAATTCTGGTGTTGGAAGCCCTGATTTTTAGGCTCTTTTGAGGTCTGTGAAGGAGGATAGCATTGTGTGAACACAGTTGACACTAAACCTACTGTATAATCAGATTGTATCATGGCAGCCCAGGACTGTATAAAATCACACAATTGTTATGGAGCACTGGGGTGTGCTCTGTCAGAGCTGGGGAGACCCAAAGTGCTTTTTTCTTTCTTTTTTTTTTTTTACCTTCCCGGCTTTCCTGCCTGGTGCACAGTGGGCATGAAAGAATTAGACTCCAGGTGACTCTGTATAATCTATGACATCTTGATGCTGACTTGCTTACTGACCTATACTGTGAGAATAGGGAGCAAAGGCTTAGGTGAAGGAAAATACAAATGTTTCTTTAGGCTCTTTATCTCTAAAGGGTCATAGAGCAGATAAAGGGTGCTCCACCCCATCTTTAGTCAGGGTAAAATGGGTGGCCAAAAGTGAGAAGGTAAGTCTTAGGAAAAATTTTCCATCAAAGAGGAGCAGAAATTCACCACCTCAGGAAGAGTGGCTGGGAGTATCCCTTCCTGGGATTTTTTAATCACAGGGTTGGGTGAAAGGTGTATAGATTGGAAGTTGGAGGATGTAGAGATATTGAGAGTCTTGCTCTGCCTGGGGAGAAGTGTGTGAAGGTGCTTTTTAATTGACATGTAAGTGCTGGGTTGTACAGCAGTAACACTAATGATAATATAATTATTTTGCCTTCATTCACTCCCTCACATGCAGAGATTTCCCACAGCTCAATGGAAAGGTGGAGGGTCACTCTTGAGAGGTTCAGATCTATTATTTGACTTCATGAACCTCAGTCAACAGGATTTCTCCGTGTTCTCTGAAGCAGAAACAATGTCGCAGCTGTGTCCCATATTTTGTGATTCCCTACTTGGAAGAAGTATAGCCTGAATTCCCTTCTCTAAGGAGAATTTTGAAGCAATTTTGAATTTTGAAGACCTTGTCTTCCCTACTTTGCATATACTACTAGAAGGGACCAGTCCCTAGAGAAGAATATTGTGCCTGGTAAAGTTGATGATCAATGAAAGAAAGATCACTATGAGATGAATTAATATAGTGGCTGCAAAAATGGATTCAAACACAGCAGAACTGTGAGGATGGTGCAGGGTGGGGCAGTTCATTCTGTTGTACCTAGCACACACATATATATATATATGGTCGCTGTGAATCTGATCTCAGGACCTTTGACAACACAATTTCTGTGTACCCTTGACTCCAAAGGATCTAAAGTTCCTGGGATAGAGCTCTACCTATTTGGGATTAGGGAATCTGCCGGCTAACACATTCTTCATTCTTCTCACACATTCTTCATTCTTCTCGTTGTGCCATCCAGTCGTTTGCGACTCACAGCGACCCTATACGCAGTTGCTCTCAACTCTGTTCTATCCTGAGCCAATCTCACTGCCTCTGGCATACCTATCCCCATTACCCCAGTTACTGTCCCAATTCATCTCTTTTAGGGTCTTCCTCTCCTGCACTGTCCCTCCACCCTTCCGAGCATGATGTCCTTCTCCAAGGACTGTTTCCTCCTGGCCACATGCCCAAAGTATGTGAGACGGAGCCTCAAAATTCTTGGTTTTATACGGGAAGGCCCTTTTGCCTCCTACATCAAAACTCCCCTGGTATCTTCGACGTTTATTCCCACCTCCGCTTCCCCAGGGCAGGGTTCCCTTTGTAATTAATCCCTACGCTCAAATCAGAGGGGAGGAAAAAAGTGTTAATGAGGGAGCATCCCAGACTGACTGGGCGGTCGTCGCTCGCAGCTAGAACACCGAGTAATTAAATTATTTTTGGAAGGGGGAGTATGGTGCGGATCCTATCAGGGAAATCCCCGTATTCGTGGGGAGGAAAGGGGGAGTCTCTTTCTCCACTAATTAAGTTCATGGATGACCCTCCTTTCTCACAGTCGTAGGGGAGAATCAATCTTCTAATGCCCTGGATTCCATTGGATTTCCTGCAGCTGGAATTGTGGCCCTTCAGATGACACTACGGCAATCCCGAGGGTCTGAGGGTTCTGACTCCAACAAGGAGGTCGGGGAAAGCAGCCCTGAAATGAACTGCCGACTGGGTCCAGGCTAGACATCTAGGCCTTCTCGGGCTCATCATCCTGGCCCCAGGTCACAGGCCCAAGGCCCATTCCCAGGACCCAGGATGGCCCTGGGACACCTGGAGGCTAAGTGCTGGGGAAGCAGCGACTCGGAGAAGAGCGAGGCCGCAGACAATGGACACAGCGGCGGGAGGGGCGGAGACTGCAGGAACAGCCGGGAGGTGGCACCCGGGAGCGCGCGCTCCCCCGCCCCCTGCTCCCCCCACCCCGCTCTCGTTCCCTCCCCCTCCACCCCTTTACCCCCCCTTCGCCGCCGGCTCCTGATCTGATTCCTTGATCCTTGGTCCCGCCATGGGAGCCTGAGCGCCCCCTGTTCCCCCCTGGCCCCCCGTCCCCGGGCCTTGAGGGGGAAGAGGCAGCGGTTTGGGACGGAGCAGGGGGTGACCAGGCTCAGGAGCCCCCCTCAACACCTCCCCCCCATCACCCGCGCTGCCCGTCCGGGAGCGTGGAGTTCGGAGCAACCCGGAGCGCTGCGGATACAAAGGCGCCGGGCCGAGTAGGGCGCCCGCCGAGCCCACCGGGCAGCTCGCAGCGGCGGGTGAGTGCCGGGCCGCGGGGGCGCGGGCAAAGTTTGCAAAAAAAAGAGAAAGAAAAAAGAAACAGAAAAGGAGGACAATCGTGCAAGGAAGCCGGGGAGTGCCCGGCCTCTGCGAGCAGGATGGCTTACTGGGGAGGGGTAGCTCGAGGCGACCCCCTTCCGGTCGGCTCCCCACCACACAGCCAGAGGCCCCCCCTCAACTTTGGGGAGGGGGCGGAGCCCGGGCCTGGAGAGCCGGGGACTTTCCTGGGCCCGGGGCCGGGGGCCCGGGCTGGGGCTGTAATGATCCCAGAGGAGCCGGTTCAAGCTGTAGAGTAGGATTGTGTGTTGGAGGTGGGGGGAGAGGCGATGGAAGGATCGGAGGCTGGAGGTATTGGAAACCAAGGGGTGTTTAAGGGTGTATAATACCTCTGGAGTATGAAGAGGGATGGGGCAGGTATGCGCTCAGGGTGTAGTGTGGAGTCTGGGGAGCCGTCCTGGGAGAGCAGAGAGAGTGTGTGTGCAGCCCGAGGATGGGGCTGGCTGGCAGGCAGGAAACCTGGACACTGGAGGCCAAGGGGACCGACACCGGCATCCTTCTCCACACTTAATCTTTACCCATTGCGGGGAATGGGGACAGTGGGCCCTGCATTTATGAGTTTCGAAGGATTGGTGGAGGACCAGTGTGCATGATTCTTTGTTGTTTGTGTGTGTGTGTGTACACGCCTTGACGTGCTGCGTGTTCTTGCAGGTGGGCCCCTGGGTTGGACATGTAGGTGTTTCTCTGTACTGGAGACCAGGAAGCTGCTGACCATGTAGCAGCTGTGTGTTTCAATGTATGTTTATGTGTACACTCTGTGAAAGGGGTGTGTGTATGCACTGGCGAAGAGATTGAACTAGGAGGAAGATGGGTGTATGCAAGAGTAGAATGGAGCATATATATGGAAGAGGTGTGTATGCATCTGTGCACTGGAAAAGGGTGTGTTCGCACCTGTATTCTTGTGTGTATTACCTATGTTGGTGGGTAGGCATCCACTGTGGGTGCTTCAGAGTGCGTGGTGGGGGTTTCTCTTGTCTCTGCAGTCAGGTTTTTCTGGCTGGAAGCCCATAAGGGAACGTTGTCTGGTGGTAGATTCTAGGATTCTTAAAAGGCCCTGCCTATGCTCCAGGGTAGATCAGTGTTTATCTGAAACCTGAGGGTGGGAGTGCAGGGCTGTCTTTTGAGGTGCTTGTTTTCAGAGATGGATTTTCTGGACAAGGTGTGATGTGGAGAATTATTTTGGAAGAATGTGTGGGGGGTTCAGGGAGAAGAATTAGAGGAACTTCCTTCTGCATCATTATAGAGAACAAACCCATCGATTGCTTGGAGAGACCTCAATCTTGGCTTCTAAGCCTAAATTCAACCCTCTCTCCTCTCAGTCCTCTTAAGTCAGGTCATTTCTTTTTGGAAAACCTTCTTGGAGTTTACTTTAGTCCTCCAGTGCTGCTTGCCTCCAGAATCCTAAAGTTCGTGAGGGGTCTTGGGATCCTGGCGTGGTGAGAAGGAAGGAGCATGTCTGGTGGGATGAGACTTGGTGAGAATAGCTTAGCTCCCTGTCCAGGGGTGGGGAAGGGACCATGAGGGCCTCAGGAAAGAGAGGGAGAGGGTGTTTCATTTGATATCTGTACAGGTGTGCCTATGTAGTCTGTCACTTAGTTTTCCTTTTTCCTGGAAAGACGTGTTGATTGAGTTGGAGTTGTTGATATAAAGGTGAGAAGCAGGGTCAAAGGACAAATACTGTGTGCTGGGAAGGGGCAGATACCCTGTCAAAGGCTGTACTCGCCGTTTGTTTGGTGGAAAGTCAGCAACTATCTGGGCAAAGGATACATTTCTCTTCAGAAAAGCAGCAGTAGTACCTCCTTTCTCTCTCTCCTCTCTCATCTTTTCACTTTTGAGGTGATGGGAAAGGGGCTGGACATCTTTATGACTCATATGTTGTGCCCTTATGCCCAATATTACATCCTTAGCTGTATTCTTGATGTCAGAGGTGAGGTCCTGATACCTAACCAGTTTTAGAAGCTGAGGCTATGATTACATATGCCTGTTAGAGTCTTTAGAAGGAAGGAACATACATGAAAGGACAGGACCTGATGGCATTATCTGTAGCGAGTTATGCTGCTAACACAAAGCCCATGTGTCCTGGTTGGAATCTAGCAGCAGATGAGCAGTCTCCTCCTGCTATGATTTACAGCCTTGAGGGAGGGTTTCTTCTAGAAGTTGGAATAGACTCAAAGGCAGTGAGCGAGTGCAAAGGGATCTCCCGGCAATTGTTCTGCTCTTGTCTTTGGTTGTCAGGGTTTCCACCCTTCCTAAGGCCTGAGGAGAAGTGTAGTCAGGTTTGGAAAATGTTGAGACCAGTGAAAGAGAACAGATAAGGCAAGACAGTTTTTAAAAAGTGCAGAAGACCTTAAACCCAACACCTATCTGTTAGGGTTCCCAGGGCTAGCAAAGCACTTAGGCTCTCTTAGGCGGGCTCTCTCGTCTTCTAGGATACCTCATTTACTCTGTATACACTCGCCTGATGTAGAATATATTATACCAGTGGGGGTTTTCTTACAAGGGGGGAGGAACTGTGCTCAAAAATAGGAAGTGCCATCCCTGACAAAAGTTCTAGACTGAGAACAAGTGTCCACTTTAGCCCCTCCTTCCCCATTGTCCTGCTCCTGCCTGTTTCCTCTCTTTTTGGGCAGGCTTTTCTGGCTTGCCTCCTGTCCCCAATCTTTCTAGGTTCCAGGTAGGGCCCCTCTTCTCTGGCCCTAGGGTAGGACAGACTGGAAGCCAAGAGATCCCTTCATTTACTAGACAAATGAACTTGGCTAGAAGCTGTTTAGGGAAAAAAGGATGCAGTCTGGGACTTATGTCATCCCCTGTGAGTTTTAGAGACTCTAGTCATCTTCGCCTTTTACATATTCTTCTAGTAATGTTTCATACCTCAAGACCAGAGGAATAAACAGACTTGGTTGGAATTAATGCTTAAAAGCTGTGCAACTTTGGACAAGTTTTTAAGACTCTGTTCTCTAGCTTTACAGGGGTCTCGAGGCATCATCCTTAAACCCAGGGTGAGCCCTTCCACAGAGCGTTTCAGGTCCCTAAGTGGCCTCATTTCCTGGGCTTCAACTTGCTTTCAAATTCTGGCTTTGCTGCATCCTCGCTCTATGACCTCAGACAAAATAAGTATCTTCTTAAAGTCGCAGCTGTAAAATGGAGTCAGAATCAGAGAGACTGGCTCAGGACAGGACAACCTTCAGTATTGCTGTACATAGGATTGCTGTGGGTTGAGGTGACTTGATGGCACATTAACAACAACAACATCTTTGGTTTAGGGGGTTCTGGTGGCACAACAGTTAAGCACTGACTGCTAACTGAAAACGGTTACTTGAACCCACTTGGTTTCTCTGTGGGAGAAAAGACCTGGAGATAGACTCACATAAAGATTATAGTCTAGGAGATGCTATGGGCCATTCGTATCCTGTTCCACAGAGTCACATCAGTTCAGTGGCATTCAGCAACAACGCCAACAAGGACAACCTCTCTTCCAGTTCTGAGGATTAAATGAAATAGTAGAGAGCACATAGTGCCTGGTATGTAGGGAGCGATCTGTAAACTGTTACTGTTTGAATTCTGATGATTTCTGTGAAGGAAGGAGTTCCTGGTAGTGGAATAGGAAGGCTAGATTTGGGTTCTGCTTTTCTCCTGGGAGGTCATATTAGGCAACTCACTTTCCCTCTTGAGTCTTTACTATGTGCCAGGTACTGTGGGAAGCATGGGGCAGGAAGGGGCACTAAGACAGACTCCTTGCTTTCACAGAGAAGACAAGCAAGAACACGTTGATTACCGTGACCGAGTGAGCACTGTGTGGAGGTGTGTTGGAGGGACCAGTGGAGCAGAGAGGAAGAGCGCCTGACCTAGGTGGGGCGCCAGGGAAGGTACCTATAGGGGATGTGCCCTTAGTTGTATTTTAAAGGATGAGTTAGGGTATGGAAGGCTGGACAGGATACTGCTGGTTGACACCTGGCCTGAGCAGGAAGCGGCTCAAGTGTTTGAGAACCACGTGTGTGTTAGTTTGATCTTGATACGTGAAGCAGGGCCTTGGCCTCAGTTTCCTTCCCTATAAAACAAGGTTAATCATCCCTTTCCTTCTTTGTCCCTGGAGGCTGGGGGGGGGGGAGGTATTAGGAGAGAGGAAAGATGGAAATACGGGGATAGGATTGCTTCTTCTCAGACTTAGGAATGGAGACATATTTTGAACTTGCTCTTTCTTCCACTTTCCTGGAAAGCTCCTTCCTGCACTTATTTCTGAGGGTACCCATCTTCTTGTTTTACTTGGCATCAACTTTGCCTGTCTCTTTCTGACCTGTCATTTCTCTTCTCCCCCTTTCCAGGGGGGTAGCACTGTTCATGGTGGGCTTCTTGGCAGCACAGGTGAAGGAAAAGGCCTTGGGAGTAAATCTTTCTTCCCTCCTCCCTCTACTCCCCAACAACCTTCCTCTTCTTTTTCTTGTACCTTGGTGGTTAGACTTGGGCAGCCCACTGTTCCATATTCTCTCTGGTTGTGATCTGATCTGGATAGAACTGAGATGAATCAGGGAAGATCTTGATATCCCTTTTCTGCACCTTGGTACCAAGGACGAGGCAGAGGCCCTCCATGGTGGGGCCCTTTGGAAATGAGGTGTTGCTCTGCTTGTCTGATGCCCCTGGCGAGGCTGGTAATTACAGACATGACAGCTGGGAGTAGGTTGGGAGAAGCAGGCTTGCAATCAGTGGAGGATATCCTGGCAGTCAGGGTGGGGCAGTGAGAGGGGAGAGCGAGAAGCTGGGGGCTGGAGTGAGTTAGGAGGCTTGGGGTCTCTTTCCGTGCCAGTTCACATAGAACCTAGACAGGAGTGTGGGAGGTGACTGGGGCTCTGGCTGTGCATCTCTGAGTATGCGGGAGGTGGGTGAGTGGAAGGCCTGGATCCAGGAGCTTTTGAGGAAAGAAGTC